AGGAAGATTTTTTGAAAGGAGGTTTTTTTTTTTAATACAAAGTGTTTTCCTTCTTGCTGGCAAGAAACACCGGTGTCCCCCATCCACCTTGCGAAAGGATGGAGCGTGGCTTCCCCTCCCCTCCCGCTCCCACGCTGGCTATTAGAGGCAAACCCAGGATCGTTAGTCTTTCTGCAAAGCTCATAATGTGAAAAATGAAGCTCAAGAAAAATTAGCCAAATTACCAGGCTAATCCTTCAGCAGCAATCGCTGCTCCGCTACACATCCGTAAAACGAGACCGGAGAGAGCAGCCAGGGCAGCACAGACGGGAAAGCACTCGCGTGTTTGTGGTGCGGCTGGGGGAGAGGAGGGGACGAGTCCGTGGGGAGAATACGCTTGTTGGGCTTAATTTGTGATTCAGTTTTGCTCCCCAAGCAGCAAACTGCAGGGAGAGACAGGGCTGTGCCTCCTTCTGCACCCACTGTGCCCCCGTGGGCCAAGAGAGGCCCGGGGGAGCAGCTGGTCCTGCTGCCTGCGGTGCAGGGATGGGGTCCCCCGCAGCCTTGCCTCAAAGCAGGCGTGCGAAGCTCAAGGAAGCGCAGGAGGCGGCTGCAAGTTGGTGCAACTGAAGAGGTGATTCCCACGCAAAAGTTGGGGTGGGGTATGTGCCAAATGCCCCCCCAGTTATCACGATGCTTGGCGGGAGGCCCCTACGAAGGCTCTGATGGAGAATACAGAGAGGAGGGAGTGGGCACTCCCATGCTCGCAGATGGATGTGAAATCCGTGCTTACTCCTACCAACCTGGGACTGGCTCCAGCTGCTGACTTTGGCAGTTCTGGTCCCCACGGCACAAGGAAGAGCTGGGCTCTGGCAGAGCCTCAGGGCAGGCAGCACCCTCCCCGGCAGCACTCCTGCTGCCCCCCCGCCTGCACCCCCAGGCAGGGCAGAACCTCACAGGTCCCCTCTGCACACCCACACCAAGGACGTGTGGCTGCTGCTACAAACCCTCACTCAGCTGGGAACATTGCCCACCTCCACGCTGGCAGGGAGGAGAGCAGGATGAGCGGAGGCTGGAGGAAACCTCCGGAGGTGGCCAGAGCCTTCCTGGGAAGGAGAGCTTGCATCCACCGCGCGTGCATCCCACCACAGTTCAGATCACTGGCAGGGCTCAGCTCAGCCACCGTCCTTCTCCGTGTCCCAGCTGCACCTCCAACACACCCACACACAAACCAGAGGCTGGCAAGACAAGGCTGGAAGTTTGCAGGCAGAAGGGTCCCAGGCTGCAGGATCCCGCAGGATCCCACTGCCCTGCCCCAGGGAAGAGGTGGAAGCCGAAGCAGGGACAGCACAAGCTCTGCTGCTCTGTGAAGGACCTGGGCAGCTCAGCAGGACGGTAACGGGAGGAGTTGGTCAGCTGGTCTATTGAAACCACCGCTTTTAATTATGATTTTAACCAGCAAATCAAAGTTTTTATTCTGTTCTTTTCCTCCGTACTGCTCCAGCTGACTCCAAGGAAAGCAGCTAATGAGGATCAGCCCCAGACATGTTGTTTTGAAGCGAAGTTTCTTCATGCTGAATTTGGCATTTCTTTGTGCTAACCAGGAGAAACTACAGACACATTTAAGCGGTTAGAGAGTCAACACACTTCCAGATACTCACATTGATTACACTGTATTAGAAAATGGTAAATTATTTATCAGGCTTTCTGACTTGTGATTAGCGTAAAGCCGTTCCTGGATGCAAATTGGAATTGTAATTAGACATGTAGAAACCCAGCATCTGAAACCTGTTTTTATTGAAGCAGTGTAAGGTACTTTTTTCCTTTTGTATCCAGCATAATTATCAAAGAACACTTTGCACATAAAAACCCATCAATTTATTAAAACCAGAGACAGTTTTACATCTGATCAGTGAACTAAAGCTGGTCATCACGATGCCTGGATTTTAGCGCTAGTACGTCTCAACTTCTCATACTTGATTTTTTTCTGATTCCTGCACTGGAAGAGGAAGGCAAGCTCCTCCACCTCTGCCAATTTATTACTCAGCTTTGAATGAAGCAATTCTTGAACAGAGCTACACTTATAAAAAACCCCAACTAACAACAACAAAAAAAAACCCTCAACAAACAGAGCAGTGATAAAATCTTTCTGGCAGGTACAGAAGAGACCACAACCACTGTCAGCTTATTACTTCAAGATACTCTGGCTGCAGACACTTACCTGCCAATTCCCTTTAGTTCTGTGGTACAAGTTAAATTAAAATTTCACAAGTAAGAACTGCATTTACACTTGTGTAATAAGTTTAAATGCATTTAGGTTTTATAGTCTGCCAATTGCAAGTTATGGTCAGCTTTTGAGGAGGCAGGGATTTTTTGTTTGGGTTTTTTCTACTTAAATTACTTCAAACTAAAGCCAAATTGTGTTTGCTCTGCCACTGACCCCCCTCCAGCCCCAGTCTCCCCCCGCCCTGGCAGGGGCACGATTTACACACCCAACAAGACGTAGGGTCAAGGTGACATGCTGGTTTCATTCTGTGGTTCATTCCTGGAACAGCTATTACAAGCAGAAACGCCCAGACCGCCTTTGCCTTTAGCCACCCTCCCTACAGGTGAGAGCGGCTGCTGGAACCGGACCTCGAGCACGCGAACAGAAACCAGAGCCTGGCTACGGGACCCCGCTTATCAGCCCAGGCAGATTATGGGGAAGACTGAAAACAGGGATAATTTCACTAGAATTGGGCTGTTTCTTTCATTTTAATTATCCAAGTTTTAATTAGTAGCAGGTAAGAGCTATATTTAAAGGTTTCCTCTCCACCAGGAATTGCAGTTCAGGAAAATGGAGACCTGAGTGTCAAGCCCTGAGCTGCCAAGACACTTTTCACCCAAAAAAGTCAAAGCACTCTGCACATCCACCTTGCCAGCCTCGCTGCCTGCCCTCACAGGATGCCAAGGGAGAAGGGAAGAGACACCACACGCATCCGAAGCAGCAGAACCAAGCAAAATGTCATTATCCGCGCTGGAATCCAGCCAAGACCCTCTCCTCCAGCCCCTTGGGATTAGCACAGCAATTGAGCAAGTAAATTCAAAACAGGATTTTGAGAGCCTGGGTCAAACCTGCTCCAACCTAGCTCAAATGCAAGCAGTTGCTCCCAGGTCCTCATCACAGCCCCCAGTCCCAGTGACACCAGGCCTGAAATTTGCTCCACACCTGTGTCTAGAGGCCCACAGCCACCCAGGAGAGAAGTTTCCAGGACCAGGGCACACACAGCTATCGCTCCGAGGACACGGTGCCAAGAGCTCAGTCTTGCCAGAGGCAGAAGCTTAACTCTCAGAGAGCGCGTGCAGCACTTTGGTGTTTAAAGACGAGAAGGAGTGCAGGGTCACTCCGGGTGCCCCGATATTGGTCTCCCAGCATTCAAATCCACAGGCACATAAGTCTCGCTTGGCTGCTTCCACAGCCAGCGGGGAGGTGTCTGCCAAGAGGAAGGCAAGAGCAGCCAGTTAGTCAGCTAGGCCACTGCGGGGAGACTGAAACGGGCCATCGCAGGTTTAAACACGTGCCCGCTGGAACAGAGCCAACGCCCTGAAGGTCTGGCACACACAAATGAACACACTGAATCACCCCTGTATGAAACACCGCAAACCACGCTGCCAGGCCATCCCACGCTCGTGACGTGGCTTCGCACCCCACCCCAGCCGTATGAGGGCTAGCGTCGTATCCCTCTGCTTTCAAACCTGACCCCTCTGGCAGGGCCATGTGGAACGAGGGAAGGATGCCCAGGGCGAGCAGAGGATTACTGACCTGGTCTCAGCAGGGTGATGCCACAGCCGCCCCCGCCAGCCCCGGTCAGCTTGCTATGCAGGCCGTGAGACGCCGTCACTCGGCACAGCCTGTCCAGGGAGGGATGGCCGACTCCGATCACGTTTAAGTGGTGTTGGTTTATATCAAAGAGTTCCTAAAAGCAACCGCACACACATAAAATGAGCACACATGGTGACAGAAGCTCTTCACAGGAGCTGCCCTGCCTTCCAGCCACCTCATTTCTGCAGGGAGCTTGGCCACCAGCACGTCTCGAGGCCCAGCAGCACAGGGCAGCAAGGTCGAGGCTGGGGTCTGAGCCCTGTGCTGCTCATCTGTCCCTGTCCCCCTCGTGATTTGTGGTGCTGCTGCTCACCACAGTGACAGTGATACAGCTGCTTCTGGACTCAGGGAGGACAGAAAATCCTGGTCACCGCAAGCTGCCAGTTGGCATTTATTTCAGGTGCTAAATCAGAGCTCCCTGATGCCTCCTGACTGCTTCACCTCTCCCCTGTCACACGAATGCTGAGCAGGAGACTGTGCAAGCCCCCTCGCTGGCCGTGGGAAGGGCACTAAGCCAACATCTCTCATTCCTGGCTGTCACCCTGCCCTGCTCTGCAATCCATCCAGCATAACTAAATCCAGGGGACTTCTGACACAGCCAAGTCCAAAACGGCTTTGCTGGAGAGGCAACATGGAGTTACCTCCTCTTGTTTGCATTGTGCAGCACTTCTCCCTCCTCACGGGCAGGGCCTGGGCTGCGAGCCAAGGGGCCTCTCACCAGCACCACACTGGGAATCTGGCACCCAGAACAAGTTGGGTCGAGAGGGTCCTCCCTTTGAGGGAGAGCAGCGCAAGCCACTCTCCAAGCAGAGCATCCCTGCCACGCTGTCCCAGCCAGCCACAAACCCTGCTGCTCCTGGAGAAAGCTGCCACAGCAGCAAAGTCCAAATGGCCCAAGTGATGGACAACGCCACACAGAGGTGGGAGTTACAGCTTCTCTCCTCCCAGTAGTAGAGGTGAGGAATTAAGGAAGAGAGGGAAGGGCTTGGCCCACACTCAGAGCGAGCCTGGAGCAGGGCCAGGAACAGATACCCGGCCCCGAAGCACTGCAGTGCCCTCCCAGCCCATCAGCACCATCAGCGGAGGAAGCTCATTCTCAACAACACCTCAACTCTGTCATCTCCCCAGTGTGCAGCGGCTGTTCCCATCACTGTCCCAGAGGGTGTCACAAACAGGGTGCTGGCTGAGATGGGACCCATCCCAGAGAGGCTCCCCAGCAGGAGCCCTGTGCTCCCCCCTCCAGCCGGTGCCACCGAGCACTTCCCCGCCTGCAGCTCGCGGTGAGCCGGGAGGGATGCTGCGCACAGGGAGCGGCGGGAGCCATGCTACGGCATGGCAGGTGTCAGTCACATCCCCCTCCCTCAGCTCCGCACAGGTCTCCTGCCAACACCACACAGAAATAATCCCTCTGCCCCCCTCCAGAGCATTTCTGTACTGTGTTTAAACAAATGCAGGGAGATGAATTAGCCAGTCGCATGCAGAGCGCGTATATCACAAGTTCTGCGCTGGGTTGGACAGACGTCCATCTAGAGGCCTCTTTATATGCCTGAGTGAGGGCACAGCACTGTCTATGATGATCCAAGACACCTGTCATCTCCTGATCCAAAATCTGCCAGGAATCGGATGACAGCTTATGACACAGACGACTAGTTCGATGGTTCAAATACAATGCTGTCCAGAACTGCACATTTCAGAAACAGCCAAATATATATATATATGCTGCATATAATCAACTGTGCCTCTGTGGGCTCTTCAAGTACAAGCCAAACCAACAGATTCAAGACAGAAACCTGCTCTCTGCAGCAGTGCTTCCTGGGCATTGGAAGATGCCAAAGCAGCCTTGTATACATGTGAGGATCTCAAAGCATGCTTCCAATTAGCCCTCCTCTTCCCAGTCCCCCAATACTTCGGACGCCTGAGCAATGTGGAGAGGAGTTGTCTGAAGTTGTGCTGCCAACAGACTCCAGATCTCCCCCAGCCCTGCCAGCCCAGTCCAACCCAATGGGTACAGAAACCCAGCACCCTCTGGGTGTGAAGGGAGCAGAAGGACTTTGCTATGAACCCCATGGGAGACCCTCCCGTGCTTGCTGCAGTCCCAGCACCCACACGCAGCGAGATGGAACACAGCCTGGAGGGAAGAGCAGAAGGCTGTACCCACCATCTGCTGCTGCCAGAGGTCAAGTGGGACAGCAGCTCTGTGTCCCATCCCAGAGTCCTTCCTGCACCCCCAGAGCACAGGCCCAGCTGCAGAGGGGTCAACCTGCCAGCGAGAGCAAGGACGAGCAGAGGTCCTCACGGCAGAGACGGTGGCAGGGGTGGGAAACAGATGCCAAAAATGAACTGCACCGCTTGTACCAAATGGTTCTTGACCGTCCAAGTCACTTGGCACCCGGGACCAGGCCAGGTTTGCCTCAGCTGGGACACTGCCACACATCCTTACCTCACGGTTGTATGAATCAGTATTATGGTGCTCTCAGCACTGCAAAAAACTTCTTCCACTTGGAAGCGCGCTTCCCCCCGCCACAGCAGCCTCTCCTACTTTGAGCAAAGCCAAGACAAGCACAGATCTTTGTATGCACCTCATGCATCAATGTCAGGTCAGCTCTGGGCACAACTCTGTTTGTTATCCTCTGGAGCCAGGATGAGCGCAGAGCAATGGGAGCTGGCTCGTAACCAGTCCATCACAAACCAGTGGCTGCTGGGCTCTCTGCTCTTCACTCCAGCCTTGGCAATGACAAAGCTGTTGCTTCAGAGGCAGCGACTGCCAGAACGAGCACGGCTGGCCTGCAGCGCAGGGAGGCAGCGTCTCAGCCTGAACTCGCTCCATGTTTCTTAGCAAGAGGAAACAAAATTTCTCAAGCTACAGGTCCACAAAGCACCAGGCCTACTCCCTCCCTCCCTCCCTCCGCACTGCTGTGGAGAGACACCAGCTCCTTTCTGTCCTTTGGCTCCAGGAAGGGCATTAAAAGCAGCACACACAGACCATGGCTTCACTCAGAACTGAACATTTCCTGCTATCAAATTTTTTCTTAGACTTAATGTTCTTTAAATGACATTTTGATGTTCAACAGTAACAGTGTCTAAAAATACTGGCGAACAAGCCCCTTACCTCCAGCACAGGGTAATACTCTGGTGATGGATTTGCAGGCATCGCTTCCAGAACACTTTGGCACTCCTGAGAAATTGCATCGATGGAGTCCAGCACCGGGTTCATTATAGCAGGGAACTGAGAAGGGGGGGAAGGCAAGATGTGAGAAGACTGCTCGTCGTTAGTCTTCTAATCCCACTGTGATAAAATCAGCCACACTCTCTCGGAGCCAGACAATTGCTCACCCCATTTGGGGTGACTCATTCACAGAAAAACCCACTGCACAGCAGGGCAATGGCAAGTTGCTCCCACCTGCAGAAACTGGAGGAAGAGAGGGAAACAGGCCAGAGGAAGGAACTATTCTCCTGGTTGCAAACTGGTGATTTTTGGCAAGCCCTGCTAGTGCTGGAGAGGTGAGATAAACCCCCATTCCCAGGGCAGCTGGGTGTGAGCTAGCAGCAGGTGGGAATGCAGCGACCACAGGAAGGATCTCCCAGAGATCCCCATGAGACCTGCAGTGCCCCACGAGGAGATCTGAGCTTGTGAGGCTTATCTCCCCACCCCGCCCCAGCACACATCTCCATCCCTGCGACCACACAGGCGCTGCACCTTCAGAATCTTCTCCTTGACACCAGCCACCAGGACCTTGGTGCTTCGAGGGACTTTCGTGTTGGTCAGCAAGATCCTCAGCATCGGCACCCTGGAAGCAAGAAGAGACATCTCCTCGCGTCTCTCCTTCACAGTCCCCCGGCAGCTCCCCAGTCCCAGACAGCTACAGTTCCTTCTGCCTCAAAGGCCCACTGGAGCAAGACACCCAAGATAAGGAGCCCCATTAGTTTTAAGAAAGTTAAGCAGGTGCTTAAGTGCTGGCTGGGTTCAGACTTGCTCCTCTTAGATACAAGGAACAACTGTACAAGTGCTATAAATAGGACTGTAACGTATTTACTGAAATCCACGTTTTTCAAGCAAAATTTTTCCTTTGAAATACTATCTGCGAGAGTAGCCAGCAGTAGCCATTAACTGCTAATAGAGCAATTTCATGCACTGTGAAAGATTTTAATGGAGTCAGATTATACTTCACTGGCAGGAGGCAGAGGGAACATGCAGGACCTGGATTTGCCTCTGCAGTTGGGTTTTCACACAGTCCTACCACCAGGTAAGCAAAAAATTCCCCCTCCCCGCAATGTCATTTGCTGCCAGGAGCAGATCCGTTCCTGCTGCCCATAATGCCATGAAATTAATATTGATCCTTTGTGCTGTGTTCATCTAATGTCAGATAATGACCAAACATTTCATTGTTCCTGTCCACCCCAAACCAAGACAACACTCAAGCTACCCACACCCACAGCAAGATCTGGCTAGAGAGCCCTTCCTTCTGCCACGCCGTTAGCGATCTCCCATCAATCTCACACCCTACGAGATCCACCCAATGCCTCTTTTGACATATTCCACCCACCGTATCCAAGTGTTATTTTTAAACTCGAATATTACCTCTTTAATGGTGTGATTTTTCCTGATTGGTATCTCAGGGCTCCACCTAAAGTAAAATACATGCATTGTCTCAGTATACAGCCAGCCGAGAGATAACACAGTGTCGTAAGAGACAGAAGGTCTTTCATCTTTAGAGCCTCACCCAGAGCATATGACAGTAATTGCAAGAAACACCAGCTAAATGAACCATGTTCTCAGACAGCATGAATCTGCCTAACCCTGCTGACTTAATGAGAGAGTCTGGCTGGATGTAGTTAACCCAATGCCTTTCCCCTTTGCTCTCTTCTGCTCTGGGATCACATTAAATATTTTTTAAAAGGCAAAGAGTTTGGCCAGCATTAAATCTTTACCGAAAAAAAAAAAAGAATCAAGCGGCGATTCCCTGGGGCAGAGCCAAGCACGCAGGTTTCAAACTGGACTGAACGTGTGCACTCATGTTAGCAGTCATCCTGCAGCATGGAATTTCATTGTCCAGAAGGAATGTCTCACTTGGCCCCTACTTTTACAGAGGCATTGCGATTAGGTCTCATTAGAAAGATTATTAAAAGTCTCCAAGGACACTTCCAAACCACTTGGAAGTCTCTGCTAATTGAAACTAAATGACAGCTGTCCAACTGCATTTTCTACTGCATTATCCCTGGGACAGGATTAGGCTTCTTTGTTCACGCCAGAATGTTTAAATATCAGTTATTTGCAACAGGGTCTGTGCCCCACGGCACTTGCCTGGGGGATGCCGATTGCTGGTGTTACTGCAGCGAGTTCCCAAGAGCCCAGCTGGCTCCAGTCCCAGCTTACAGATGGGGCAAACCAAGACAGAAAAGGATTCCCTCTACTCGGATCAAAATGAAGGCCTGAATTTGGGAGTTTCTCATCCCTTTGCTGTACCCCAGTGCAGTGAGGCGACCTGCTCCATCCAGTGTCCCTGCAGCAATCCCAACCAAGCCTTATCATTTGCAGAAATGCAACTTGCGGCATCTGCTCACCACCTTCCCACAGCTGATGCTCACTCTGCAGCGGAGAGTGGAAACACGGCTGCTGCCCTGCACCCTGTCAGCCTCTCCTCAGCACCCACATTCAGCACTGGGGAGCAGCAAGCACACACCTACCCCAGGTACCAACAGCATTATCCACACCCGAGGGATTGCCATGGATCACCCGCTCCCCCTGGAAGGCCCAGCTGTTAATCAAAGTCAGCTCTTCTTCTGTCCACCTGAAAGGCAAGAAAACAACTCCAATACACAACCGAAACCAGCACACGCTGAGTGACAGAGAGAAGCACCAGAGGCTGCAGGAGATACAAAAGCAGCAGGAACCATACAAGGCACCCAGTTGCTGTGGGAAGCCTCAGCACCGCGAATCCTCTCTGTGCGCTCTGTTCTTCTGGCAGAGAGCAGGCATCGCTGTTCACAGCGCTTAGCTGGCACTTTTCTGCACAGCACCATGTAGAATGCATCCAGCCCGCAAGGGGAACTGGTGCTGCTCCACGGACAGAGACAGCACAGAGGGTACAACCGCTCCTGCTGCAGGCCAGTGGCGAGGGAGGGAGCGGGCTCAGGGAGAAGCCTAGCCCTGGCCCAGCTAAGATCAAATGTAACTGAATGCAAGTCCTGACTTATCCCCACTGTGCCGACACTGCGTGTTACCACACATCTTGGCCCGAGATCCTGCTCGCCAACAGGCAGAACGGTGTATTTATAGATGCAAAAGGCACAACGTGAGAAAAGAAATAGTGAAAGTTGCATTTCACACATGCAACTTCAGCCTCTAATTGCCAGCTGAGAAGCCTCACAAATTGGGTCAAAAGGTGTACTTAGAACTGCTTTACTACCTCCAGCAAAGACTTTGATTTTTAGGGATTACCTCCTAACACTTCAAGCTGCAATGGGTGCTGGCACTTAGAGCACAGAAGGGAACCAAATGCAGATCCAGACGGTGTCATGCTAAAGACACAAAACCAGGTCCTTCTGTTGTCTTAAGAGCCGTCACATAAATTGGTAAGTGCTTTGAGAGTTTACACGCTGGCACAAAGAGTTTGGTGCTGGGTCAGACTCAGCAAGGATCAAGGCCCCTGACTGAACGTACTAATTAATGGGCTGTGGCAACACAAAAAGCAAATGCAGAGCTGGCACTTACAAAGCAATCGCTGGCTGCAACTTCACCACAATTCCCCCACAGTGATTTCTCCCCCCAGCATCTCTCAAAACCCCACTCCCTGCTCTGGGCCTGCTTCTGCAAGGCACACACCCACACAGCCACCTCCAGAACCCACCAGCGTACTTCAAACCCACCCGCTCACTCCACACGGAAGGACTCTCTCAAACCCTGGCACCCCAAGGGAAGCTCAACACCCACAGGGAGCCGGCTAGTCCCCGCCGCACCCTGCCGTAACACACTTGGGCTCACACAGCCACACTAATACACATCTCTGACCCTCCCCTGCCACACAGCGCTGCCAGCTCCGCAGTCCAGACACGCAGCACACGTCCCAAGCTGCCGTCCAAATGGCCTAATGCACAGCGGTATCAGATATACCAGCATCAGTGATGCTCTGCAGAGATCAGAGCTGGTGTTCGGTGCAGCGAGAGCGTCCATTCGACAGGTTTTTCGACTACGGGGCCCAGAATAGGTATTACATGACGGAGCCGAGGCACAAGCAAGGATTTTTGATAAGCATCACACAGTCTTACATGAAATAATGAGAACGGTCACTGACCACTGCTAAGGCAAGGCAGAAATTCTGAGCGCCATCTGCTAGCTGGAAGCTGTTTCCTTTAACTCCCCACTTCCCTGGGCCTCAGCTGAATGTCTTTATCCATCTCCACACACCTTTCATTTCACTTGCCAATATTTAATCTGTGAAGCATTCAGGAAAACAGCTCACACCACCGCTACTCAAAATAGAAGCGCAGTTTGCTGTAAACCACTTGTTTTTAATCCTCTTTGAGAGGCTGCGATTCTTCTCTACACAGGAGTCATTATATCACGCTGTTCTTTTCTTGCGACGTTAAGCAAAAACCTTCTGAAGTCTGACACCCCCATCTCTCACTTACCCCTCTGCATGCCAGCTGGAAGAAAAAAAACAACCCAATGCTGTATTCAAGCTGAAGCTAAGAAGTGTGAGCAGGGAATGAAGACATCCTCACTGCCTGGTTTGGAACTGGCCTTGTATTCCTCATGCCCCGTGACCATTTGGGACATTTGCCTCAGCACGGCGTACAAACTGCTCCGCTCCAAGAACGTGTTTCTGGGTCAGGCTGCAAACTCTGTTTTTGAAGCAGAACACAGTCACCCCCTCTTGCTGTCTCACTTTCAGTCCCACACAAAATCCGCAGAAGCCAACCACAAAAGGTTGCACCTGGCACGGAGCGCACAATAGAAGGTTCTGCCACTCCAGCTGTGATATGCAGCTTTAAACAGAGCCTCCTCAGGCACACAGCAGAGCAGTTTTTCAAGACTGAACTCCAAGGGAAAGCAACCCAAGGGCAGAAGGAAAGAAAATCCCTTTCACCCACCACTGATAAAGGGGAAACTCAAGGCAGGAAATCAGAAGGAAATGTACCACATGCAGAAAAAAAAATTAACGTGAAAATGCAGAAAAAACAGAAAGGATCCTCGACTCCTTGAGGACGCAAAGCAAAACCTGGAAGATACTCAGGGACAGAGAAGAAACAGATGTTAAAAAAATTCACCACAGTAAGTACATGTTTTATTTTCTTGGCAAAATAAAGATTTTTTTTTTTTTTAATTAGTATGTATATCTTACACTAGACAAGGGAAATGGTGCAAGTTTTACCAAGTCTCTGCATCCAGTTGCTTTTATCAGGAAAAGCGAATTGTAAACACGCAAGTCAGAGCCCTGGGACAGGGAACACTGCTGCTGGGAATGCAGGACAGCAGGAGAACAGGAGGGGAAAGGAGCTGGGCTCAGGGTGCCGCTGCTGCGGCCACAGCCCAGGAGGCGGCCAGAGAGAACCAGAGAGGTGCCCGTGCCAGAATCTGTGCGGGTCAAAGGAAAGACAGGGGCACAGAGAGCAGAACTGCCCCGGGCCAAGAACCCAAAGCAGGGAGGCCTCCCCAAAGCGTTACCTGGCTGAGGACTCTCCCTCCTTCAGAGGGCATGAGATGGCTCCAAACGCCGTCAGCAGGGCCGCGGCCAAGCAGACAGCATAGGCGGCACTTGAACCCAGCCCAGCTCCCACGGGCAGCTCAGACCACACCAGTATGTCCACACTGGGAACATCTCTGAAACACAAACACGCAGCAGGTAACACGATGAGCTTGAATTCCATCTTGAGACAACATTTCAAAGACAAAAGATGTCAATTAGGACGGAACACAGGAAAAGCTAGTTGAAAACTGGCAACATCAGCACATGCACACCCATCCGACACAGCCTGGCTTCACAAGAGCTCAGTTAGCACAGCTGAGCAGCCTTGCTAAGCCATTGTACTAGAACAAAGCCTTGCTGAATTGGATCAGGCTGCTAGCACGGGCACTTAGTAACTAAATACCACTGAGAGACCCATCAAAGATTGTCGTAAACACAGTTTTAGACATATTTCTAAATAAAGCCTAGATATCCCAAATCCCTAACTGCCTAGTTACATCCCACTGGAGGACAAGCTGATGGGGGAAGGTGAAATACGCACATATTGTGCCCACACACCCCTTTTCTCCACTGAATGAGTCCGGGTTGTGTTACAGACCCCAACATCAAACCCGAAAGCTTTTCACTGGCTGGTGAGTGACACGAACTATGAACTGACGGTTTCAGAGCAGGCTGGTGACAGCCCCAGTGCCATCACCAAGCAACTCAGAGGCTGCAAAGCAAAACACGATGCAGCTACACATGATAATTCTTTAACCTTTGATTTCTTTGCGATGAATATTGAAGTCGGGTTCTGACTTGGTTTAAAATAGCAAGCAGTCCTGTATCAGGCGTTGCTCTGAGCACCTGTCCAGTAACTTACACTGATACCATCAACAGCGTTGGTCAAGTTTAGGAACTGGAACAGCCCTGAGCTGCATTTACCCCAAGTTCTCATATTTTTAGGGAGAGGCAGCCCACAGGAGGGATCAGACTTAGCTCAGACAATGAATTCACAGCTCATTTCTGTAGAGGGTTTTCTAAGCTAAGCCAGCATGAAATGAGCTGCCTGCTGGAGGGAGGGATGTCTGTCTCTGCGTCTCTTGACTGTTCAGGAAGGGTGGGATGAACTGCTCTGACTTAAGCACCTCAAAGCTGGATGCCTAAACAAGAGCAGACGACTCCCAGCCCACCTGCTTGGGGCACCCCACCCACCAAACAGCTCAGCTCTGAAAGTGTCCCCCGAGGTGCTCAGAACCTAAATGAAATGAGGCTCTCTATAATTTCTTATTTTCTCTCAAAGATTTGGTTTCTTCCTGTGACCTTGTAGGAGCAATTAATGGTGAACAACACTCAAGATAGCAGGTTTATTTTGGGGCAGGAAGATAGCCTTACCCATACTTAGCCGAAATAGCCAGGCACATATACAGAAAGGCAAGAGTAGCAAGGCTCTCGGGAGCTGAGGCTCCGGCAGCAATTCCAGCAAACTCTCTCAGTGTATCCAGCTGTTCTATGCTGGGGGACTTAGACTCATCAAAGTCAGCTATGGAAGCAAGCAGGGGAGAATTTAAACACTTAGAAACCAGGGAATTGTTAACTTGAAAGCAGTATTTACACAACAACATCTCCTGTTATAGTAGGCAGAAATAGACTGAGCCAATTTCAGATTTCACCTACTAACCTTCTACCTGAGGATTCATGACAAAATAAAAGCAAAATCTCCACCAGCCACTCTGAAAACCCAGTGTTTCCGCATCTGCGCTGTATTACAGCAACTGTCTCCTTGCCTACACTTCCCAGTGCACCCATCCATCACCATGTACAACTTGGCAAGTTACAAACTCTTTATTAAAGAACGTGGATATTCTGACACGCTTCACGCGAGTCCGGACTCCAAACGGCCAGGAGCAGGCATCAACGTAAGAGAAGTTTTGGCCAGTGCTGAGAGAGGTTATCCATGCTCTGACACGGCAGACTTGGTTCTGCTTTCTGCTAAGCAAACAGTGCTCACAAGGATCACAGGACTTAATGCCAGGTCCTCCAGAGGGAAATGGCACAACCGCCATTCAGGCACTCCACCCAGGACAAGATGCTGCAGAAATCCCAGTGAAGGCTGGCGTGGGGCAGAGAGGCAGGAAAACAGGCCCTGTACCCTTGCCTTCCCCAAGAGCCCCCAACTCAGACCAGCTTCAGAGAGGCTCCTTTTTGGCTCCTGCCAGCAATACACCTGGACAGGGCTCCTGTAGGTGTCGGAGCACTGCCCGAGGTACAGCAGCACTAGAACAAGCCCCCGGGAACCTGAAACAGGAGCCCAGAGCCACAGCCAGGCCCAGACACATCAGGCGGGTCCCAAGTGACACACGGGGGAGCTGCAGGTGCCTGAGCCGGGGCTGTGCAGGGACGCGTTAGTTAAGCACGCACCGAGCGCGGTCACAGACGAC